TGAAAACTATTCTGTTAGAGCCAAAAATGTTAAATATTAAAAAAGTCTGCTTCACTCATGCAGACTGAAACAGGAATAAAATAGGTCAATACCAAGCAAAAGGCAACTAGGCTAACATTCGTAGCCTACGTTCTCATTTAGCCACTTCCCTGCCGTTCGGCCTCTGTAAGGACAAGCCCCTGCTGTTCTAAACTTACACTGGATTGGATTTGAAAGGGGCAAAAATATACCGACATGAAAGTGTCAGAGGTTGAACACCGCTCCAGCTGCAGCCGGGATCTTCAGTCCTTTATGGCAGGGGAGAGGACATTCATCTGTTACATTCTAGATATCTCTGAGGACGCAATAGCCTCAGATGTAATCAATTTAAAATCCACAAAAACACATTCTTCAGAAAAATGTGCCTTTGCTCTTCCTAGTTCCCATTCATGTTTTGGACTCAAATTTTTAGATTTCTTTCCACATCAGCTCCTTTTTGGGTTTTGTCAGCATGTTCAGCAAATCATCAAAGCATGATGCAGAAGTTGGCTAAACAATTAGCAATGTGGTAAAGGGAGAATTTTGCCATTTCCATGCAGAATCATTTCTATGCCAAAATATATACCACTAGATTTGTTATATATAAATGGTGCAAGTTACACTAAATAGAGATTTCCTAAAAGCACAGTGTAGTCTGTGATGAATTAATTATCCCTAAAAAATATTAATTCACAAAAAGCTCTGGCTTAAAAATTCTATCCAAAAATATCTAAAACCATAAAAAGTTGAAAAATAGCTCCATTTTTGTTTTTGAATAAAGTGTACAGTAGGGCCAGGAGATAAAAAATAAATAAATAAAACTCATTTTTTTTATACCACATCCGACTCTTGATTTTTCTCAAAATTACTACTTTATTCTCCAATATTACGACTTCATTCTGGTAATTAAATTACCATTACAGGCTAAATTACAGGTTTTCCTGTTAAAACGATGCTAAAAATCTCTTTTGAATTAGACAAGCTGATATAGAGGAAAATGATATAAATAAAGCATCTTACAGACATGAGAGAAACAGAAAAAGAAAGTTAAAGTCTGTTTAAGTGTTGTGTCGTCAGCAGTGTACAGAGTCTGATGAGAAGTGACCTGAAATTCTGCACAATCCAGTCAAGAGCTGTGGCCGACGTTCAGCATAGGAGTCAGTGTCGTAGAGCAGGCCTTTAGTAATTTGGATTAAGAAGATTACCCATGATAATAGATTTAAGAATAACTTTCCACTGCAGGGCTTCCTGAGCACCGACAGGCTTAGTCTCACAGTGCAGCGCTGATTGTGTTTCACTCCAAACCTCCAAAACCTCTGATCACATTTCACAACAGAAAAAGAGACATATAATTAGGTATGTTGCAAGCTTAGCTTTGTTTGGCTGTAAAACCAAACTTTTCATTGAAATAAAAGGAAAAACCCAAATATTGCCCACATAGCAATCTAATGTGCTTTATAACTCAATCAGATACATCCTGATGCTGGATTTCAATAGCGGTTTAATTAACTGCAGCCTTGGTCTGAGTCGGGGACGCACCGATCAGGCTTTTCATGGCTGACATCCATTTTCTTTACGGTCTAACCTTCTAGTTGTCTGAACCCAACCAAAAATGGAAGATTATCTCCATGTATTCATCCAAATACATGCTCCCTACTTTTGGATAGTTTTTCACCTAAATAGAAGAACATCAAAATGTTTGGTGTGTTTATAGACTGAAAATAGATGAGAGTGCTGAGTTTAGACGCATTTATATGAAGATAGAAGAAACATCTCATTTTTCAGAAACTCAATAGCCAATAGATAATTACGGCTAATTAAAGAATATCTTGGGCAGTTCTGATGCCTGGTCCGTCAGTAGCTCTGTGTGGTACATTTATGTACTCTTCCTATATGAACCTTTTGCCTTTTAAACAGTATCAACCCAGTGATCTCATTAAGGAGTGAGTAATTTATTTAATGGCTCTCTCATATTCTTACAGTTAGAATTGGGCTGCTTTGCAGAATAGAAAAGTGGAGGAGCCAGTTAAGGTACTCCTAAGATGTCATTCCGGTGAGGCGTTTCAGGCACATCCCACCAGGAAGAAAACACCCAGAGGAAAACCCTGGTCACACTGTATGGACCTTCTATAGAAAACATCTTCGAAACTTAACTTGTAATGTAAACTCTTTCAAACTGTCAGTAACCCTTGAAGCAACATTGAATGTTGGCACAGAGACGACGGGTGGAGTAGGTGGTGTAAAACTCACAGGCTTGTTTCCTTTCGTTTACTTCTCACTTTCTCCCATTCCTGGGACTAAGAATGGAGATTTCATGCGTTCCCTTATGGAGCTGGAGCCTCGTTCCAGCATCAAAATGAGCCTGGAGGACAAAGCCCTCTCGGGCTGTTGGCTCCCCAGAATCTACCCACTTGGCTGGCCAGGCCTCCTGATTTGGCAGGCGAGGACACAGAGGCAAGTCCTGATAACTATCCAGCCTGAAGTCCAAAACAAGGCCATGCAACACTCTAAAGTTAACATTTCTGAACTGGCAGCAAGCTGCTTAAAAACACCAACTAAAACAATAAGTAAATGTTTTCTTAACCTGGTCCTATGAGTGAAAATTAATTAAACCAATTGAATTTTCACAGGAACTATTTTTAAAAAAAAACAGGAGTTTGAGGACTTAAGATTTCTCTAACCATTGCTACAAAAGCAACACCATATTACAGTTGAAATTAGGTCAGTTACTAAATAAATTGAACTGCCATTTATGTGTACTTGTTACTATAGTAACATGGCATTTTTGTCCATTTTTGTTTTAAATAAAAGCAATCAGATTATGTTACACAATTGTGTTTTTCACTCAAAGTTATAGCTTAAGAACCTCAGCCCATGCCTACGTACAAACTGGACAGTGAGTTTTAATACACTCATACAGAGAGATGAACTCCAGTCAGAGAAAAAGCTCTGACGCAAGGTAGATGATAGATAGATAATGTTCAATCTTATCAATAATCTGGTTCATAAACTGAATGAATCAAAGTACACGGTATATGTGCTTGGTTAAGGAGAAAAACATTAACAAATCAGAAGGCATGCTTTCATTTTCTACTCTACCTGGGCAAAGCAGCCTTGAGAAATAACTTATCGGTAGATAGGGATCAGATAAAGGGAAACAACAAGACAAAACAAATATCTTCAGTCAGAATGGAGGAGACTTTCAATTTATGTGCTTTTTAAGTTTCTTAAACTGTCACTAAGTAGATCCTGGTTGACTTTCCAATGAGTCCAAAGTCCCCCTAGCACCAAAGAGGCCTAAATGTCACAAGGACACATGCAGTTTTGAAGGGTTTGGCAGCACACATGTCACTCAGTGTAAATACCAGAAATAGTTCATAGTAGCTTAACTTGTCTTTGACACAGGGTGGTATCCTTTACGCCACCTCGGCACTCTCAGGTGCAGTACTAAATGTGCTAGCTTGCTTGGTCATGCTTAACATTAACCGCAGGGCGAGTGATGGCAGCTGGTTCCACGTCAACTCAGAAGCTACACTCCTTAAAACGAAAAAAAAAAAAAAACTATGAAGGTTTCTGATCTTACTGGTGTGATACTTTCCACGCTATGAAATTAGTCATCAGAAGCAGCAAGCAAGAATGCTCACAACCTCACTTCCCTAAAATGTCCTGGCAGGGCTTGTCCTGTGAACCGGACGTGGTCAGTATGAATGACCTCACTTTCTAAATTTTCTTTAAGTTCAGAGGGACTATGAATGAGCTAGCTAACAGAGCTAACTAACGGTTGACCACTCTCATGCTAACCGGTCAGTCAAGTTTAATACACCGGAAATATCTGTCACTATAAATGAGCTGACCAAGACAGTGAGTAGGAGGAATAGTTTGGTTCCCACTCAGAAACACTCATTCCTCTGTGGAGGCGTGGACCTCTTCCCTGACGGGCCTCGTACTATCCCAGCCTCCCTCTCTTTAAATCTCTGACCCGGCGCACTGCTTCACTCTTCCGCTGCGGCCCGTTCCCAGGCCTGCGTGAGAAGCTAAAGAGCAGCTCTGACCGGGACAAGCGGTTATTCTCACCAAAAATTACCGATAACATCTAGGGAAACCGCAGTCGTGAGTACCTGTGGCTTCAGTTGTCTGTTTCCTTTGCCCGTGGTTAAATGGCGTTGTTCTGCGTTGACTCTGGCACACTCCCGACTTCCCAGGGCAGCTCCAGCCTGGCTTTCTCCTGCGCTTGCCGTCACACTCTCTGCTCTGCTGTTTCTGGTTTGCGGGGGCGGGTCATAAGCAGGCTGATAGGGAGCGCTCGTTTTGTGAGCCGACGTACACCGGCGGAACAAGTCATTATACGGATGTTTCTCCAATAATGAAAATATAATCGAAAATGTACTCTTCTCTTAGTGTAATTTTGTAAAAAAAAAAAATATATATATATATTTTTTTTTATATATATAAATATATATATATATATATATATATATATATTTTTTTTTTTTTCTGAGATAAAGTCTCAGAATATTAGACTACTACACATAACCAACACAAAAAGTTTTGCCACTTTGAGTTGTGATCAGTCACTCCTGGATGCCAATGCCAAAGGTGTCTTTCATGAGCAAGAGAAAACGGACTGAATGACTGCTTTGTTGTTCAAAGTTCTTTTTTGAGATGAAAGACAGTTTTCTCTTTTGGATGGGGCCCTTGGGGCCTTTTGGTGTTAGTTCTTATGGTTGGTTCATCATATGTATGAAACATTGTTGCAATAAAAGAGTCAAGTAAAAGTTTAAATATTTATGTCAAGTACGATCCTATTGTGTATATGAGTTTTCTTTTGTTGTTTTCGGTTTTTAATTTTGAGGTATCACCTGGCTTATTGCTAATTTAGCATTTTATAGCTTTTTTTATTTCAGCTTTTGCTTAGATTTTTTTTTGTTTATTGCAAATATGTTTGCTTTTATCAAAAAAAAAAAAAAACACATAGGAAAATATTGGCAATGGAAGATTTCATAGTTTTCCCAAAACATCCACAACAACAAAACTTACTGTATAACCAATTCATATGTTACTGAATTGATATAATTAGCCATCAATTATTTCCAGAAAACATCAAACAATACAGAATAACAGGCAAATCATCACAGTAATATAGCTGTGTTTTTCTGCCCAGGCAGAATAACTTATCAAATAAATAACACCACAGTTAGAATTAAAAACAACGCAGTTATTAAAATGTAAGGTTTGGTCAGTAACAATGAAAGGACAGTTGTCTCCCTGAAGAAGGGCAGAGTCATTCATTCCTCCTCTGTGTCAGTGGGCCTTGCTGGGGCTGCAGTCTGCAGCTCCGCCTCATACTGCTTCTTCAGTCCTTTCAGATACATACGCAGGCTCTCTGGATCCAGTCTTGAGTTTCTGGCAGTCTGCAAGAGGCGAGTTGCCAGGTGGTACACAGCTCTCTGTCTCTGCGTTTCTGGATCAGCGGGACGTTTGGCCTGAAAGTGTCAAACAGATGCTAAGTTTAGTCTATTCCTAAAATGTATTACTCAAAATATCCAGTTATTAATGTCATGTCAGAAAAATACTGTTAGCATTGGGGCAGTTTAATGTCAGCCTATGTGGCTACATATTGCACTTACACACTTTTAACAGCATAAGTGCAAAATCTTTATAGAATATGGTGGCAAATATTTTTACGATGTTTGGCAGAGATCAGCACAAAATATTTAATAATTTTGAAGTGAGCAGCTGTGATTGTAACAAAAGGTGGTTCTAAAAACTATGGACTCAACACAGATTAAATATATGCATGTCACAATTTTTTGATTTTTATTAGTAAAAAAATTCTTCTCCACAAATTTGCACTAGATTTTGTTTTATTTATCGTATAAATTCCCCATAAAAGAGAGAAGTTTAAAGCTGAAACACGTTAGACAGTTTCAGGGGTATGAATAACTTATTACAGAACTATCAGAACAAAATGACTAAATCTGATCTTTATGGACATTACCAGAAGCTGCTGGCTGACTTTACAGGCAACCAACTTCGCCTCTTGGATTATACTTGGAGGAAGTGAGGTAATCTCAGCTGCTCTCAGACCTAAATCAGAAAAAAAAAAACTGTGTCCTGTAATGACTTTCATATCAAACTTTAACAAGACTGTTCCTGAAATACGCCGACTGGTTACCGTATTGTCTTTCGTCAGAGCATCCTCGACTCAGCAGATATGTATACACCACTTGCTCAGCACCAGAGTCTCTGTTACGTGTGTGCTGAACCTCCATGTGCTGGTTTTCCACGTTAGGATAGAGAGACTCCAGCTGACAGAGCTCCAGAAAGTGTGTGGCAAACAGAGTGAACGCCTTGCAAAGAAGAGGAAAAACCAGACACACCTTCAAGTTCAAAACACCTATTATGTAGGATGCCGTTGTTTGTTCTGCTGCTTTACATTGACCATGAAGGTGTATCACAAGCTATTAGAAAGGAAGTCAATGGCTAAGAAACAGCAGAGGAATCTGAACGATCTGGTTCTTAATTCAGAAAGGGGAGTGGCAGAACTCAACCGTACTGGTGCATTTTTCACCTTTAGGCCAAGGAGGAACTCACAAACCGAGTGACAGATTCCAATGCCTTCTTCAGCACTAGTGCCACGTCCCAATTCATCTATAATGGTCAATGACCTGTCACTCGCATTGTGGATTATGTAAGAGATCTGAAAGAATCAAAAAGTGTTAGAGATTAAGCCTTTCTTTTTATATCACATGAAACAATCTGTGCAATCTGTGTGCAAAAAAGACCTTACCTCCTTCATTTCCAACATGAAGGTAGAAGAGTTGGTTTCAAAATCATCATCAACACCAATTCTGGTGAAAATCTGGTCAGCGATGCGGAAAGAGGCGTACTCAGCTGGGACAAAAGAGCCTTGAAGAACATAAACACAGAAGTCATGACGCAAGATTAAGGTAAGCGCACGGCACGATTTATAAGGTTAGAATATTAGCCGCTGACCTATTTGGGCCATGATCTGGCAGAGCGCCACCTGTTTGAGGTATGTAGATTTGCCGCTCATGTTGGGTCCTGTTACGATGACAAAATTGCTGCCCTCGGAGATGTAGGTATTGTTTGAGACAGGCTGCTGTCGGGCCATTCGCTCCAGGATGGGGTGACGACCTTGCTTGATGGCCAAGGTGTCTGTAAACTCTGGACGCACTGGCGGCCACAGCAGAACAGCACAAACACGTCACTTTCGTCTGCTGTTTTGTGTTCCAGGCATCTCAGTGACAACAACAGCAAAATACTGTAAAAGCATTTGCAATGTTCTAAATCCATCAGCGTATTTAAATAAATGCCTGATTAGCCGCAGACAGGTTGTAAAATAAGCCACAGAATCATAAAACCAGCCATTTCTGTGTGAAAATATGCACCGGTTACAGACAGTTGGCGGCTACAGTTGTCTCTGCAAATACTGCACATCAGTGAGGGCTTATGTAAGAAGGGTAATCTGAGTACAAGCTGGCTTGGACAGAAGGGGGGCAGGCAGTCAGCATGCATCAATGGAGAGACAGTTTCAGACAGCTGAGGGCCAGCAATCGCCACCCACATGGCTGATGGGGGCGGAGCCGCACGCGAAAAGAACCGAGCCCAGCAGAGAGTCAGGCTTAGTAGAGCAAGCAGTTCATGGCGGTTTAACGGAGCCACCTTCCTCTAGACAGCAGATCAAACCTCATGGAGGTAATACTCAGTACACAGCACTGGAAAAGTGGAAATACACTTTTGTATTACTCAAGGTTTATGCATCATTTTGCAAATGTTTTCACATTTTTGTCAATTATGATTATAATCTGCAAACTTTGATCAATTTTATTTGGAATTTTTTTATTAATAAGACTGTTCCTTGGTGTGACAAGACATTGTTACTTATAACATGAAAAAAATGCTTTGTTACACTGGCAGACTATTTTACTTATAGCTAGTACTTATTCATTATTGACTTAAAACAAGCTCCTATATTGTGCGGAGACGTTATTTGTTAGTCTTGTCTTATTTCAAGTCAACTACAACACTTGCAAAATCTTACCATAAATAATCAGTAAGATTTTGTGTTTTTGCAGTGTGGTGGCATGATGCTCCCACCACAATGGTTCATCATGGAAATGGTCTGATTAGGGTGATGGTAAGTGGCTTGTGCTTATCTAGACTACAATCGCCGATTATGGAAGGTAGGCTGCCATTCAATCAGAGCCACCAAATGACTGCTATAAATGTAGCGAGGGTTTGAACCAACAACCCATCAGTTGTGGGACAAAATCCCTACCTTCTGAACCACTTTCACTGTTTTAGTGTCATCTACCACTCTGCCAGATTTGTGGAGTGACAAAATTAGTTTACCACAAAAAATCTCAAATCTCACTGACGTTTGTCTCTGCTATGTGACAAAATGTTAAAAAGCTCAAGGTTTATACATCATTTTTGCAAAGCACTATCATTGATGGAACTGGTTTCCACTTACCGTAGTCTGAGATTGTGCATGCATTGGCCAGCGAGAGCAACATGTCCAACATGGACACAGTGTCAGAAAGTTTGTACAGGCAATGGATGTGCTCATGGATGGTTGTAAGAAGTTGGCATATAACCCTATTGAAACACAGATAAGGAAGGAGTATAATAAATTTTACCTTATAAATAGCACCCTCTAGTGGACATTTAATGATAAAGCCAAGCCTCAAAAGCTATAATGTCAGTTTTCTCACTAAAACATTCCAGTTGGGAATTGCTAATGGGTCACTGGCACTACACAAAGTAAAAAGTTTCAGTGAAATGTTTCAAAGCTCTGAAAGGTACAGTAATTTTTTTTTTTTACAAAGACATTGTTGGATATAATGAGATAATGAATTTACTAATCATGCCCTTATACTTGATTTTCTTTAGGGAAGAAAAGCCCTAGTAGAAAAATTGAATTGAAATCAATCAGTGCCATTAAAATAAGTTGTTTGTGAAAGGATAGATAGTTGTCTTCTCACACATAGGACATGTGGAAAATCTCCCTCAGCGCTTCATCACAACGACCATTCATCTTAATCAGGTCTGCAGTGGTAAAGCCATAACTGTTCTTCTGCTTGGTGACCTGAAATAGAAGATTTTCTGTTAGCAAGAAGCAGCTTTAGTGATTACTGAAGTTAGTTTTGTTTCTTTTACTACCTGCTAGTGCTCCATTGTCCCTAGTACAACCTAATCTGCTTGGGGAGTGATTTTAAAAGGACCCTACCTTGATGAACTCTGGGGGTAGCTTGCCCTCAGGTAAGACCACTCCATCCAGCTTCATCTGGACAAAGAATCCCCGGGACGTACTGAAACTAGTGCGCAACGGAAAGCCGTATTTCTCCCCCAACTTGTTCACAAGCCCTATACACAGCAGAGGGACGCACACAAAGCCATCAGATATGGATGCATCATAGAAATGATGCAAGAGAATTTTTACTAGATACCTGCAATGTCGTCTACAATTTCAGTGTAAACTCTGCGTGCGATGTCGAGGAACGCATTGATGTTGGGTCGCACTGCGTAACACTTCTGGGTCCGCAAGTTCAGGCTTCCTTTAAAATAAGTGGTGTCATAATTAACCACCGTCTTGATCTGCTCGAGGATTATATCAAATCTGTGGGAAAACAAAATGCACACACTGTTTTAAGAAGGTTAAGCACAGGAAAAATCTATTGAAACTCCGGACAAACATATATGTAAGCCTGAAGTGATACTACTCTTGTAGTATCATTTCATACTGTAACTTTTTGAAAAATCCGGCCTTCAAATTGGGACTTTATCTAAACCCTTTTGATTTAGTCAGATGAATATTTGTATGAATATTTGGAAAAGCACCTTATAGCCATTGTTAAGTATGGTGGAGTATGTCACGCTATGGGCTTTTTTCTATTAAAATAGATCATCACTGGGTTTTCAACACAGTAATAAGCTTACACATCTGGCCAAATCAGCACATGAGTTATTTTGACTAATGAGATGTTGAGGTCATATTTTGTTTCTGTATAAAACCCAAATGTGGGCAGCAGATAAGCAAGATGGAAGCTAAGGGGTATTTATTAATAGAAAAGGTGAACAAGCTTACAGGAAACTAAAGATGACACACAGAACAAAAAACCCAAAAGGACAAAAGTGATAGCAACAGGGTAGCATAATATGCTTAGTATGTATCAGCTGTGAGGGAGCAGACTGAGGCACGGATTGTAAATGGTAAAAGATCATGAAATGACATAGAAGATACAATAAGTGCAGTACAATTAGTAAACAGGGGTTGAATGTTTATTATTTTAAGGATATTTACATATCTTTATTGAGGGTGCCAGTTAAAGTGGTTGGTTTAGTACATATTTCCAATTTGAATTTAAAGTAAAAAAAAAAAAAAAAGCCTTTTTACCGGTTGTCCTCCAGCGTTGCACTGTATGCCTTTAGCAGAGCTGTGTTGCATGTCTTTAACACCTCCTGTTTAATATGTGCAATGTTTAATTGTTTATAAAAATCAGTATATGAATGTTTATTGAATGATGACCAGCAGGTACAGACCCTTAACTGTGGCACCAGATCCAGTGTGTGCTTCAGCTGGATGACATGCGTAATCTTCGATTCAGCAGCTTGAGCCTGCAGGATTAATAATGTACCACTAATGAGAAATGCACAAAACGTGAGCAACAGAAAAAAACATCTATAGAACATAGAGCTGTGAAAAAAAAAAAAAAACCCTGCATGAACCGTTTCCTGCTTTGGAATCTGAACGAGAACGGAGAGCAGCCGGTCAATGTCCAGGAAATGACCTATTGCTGAGGGGGAAAGAACACACACTGATATGAATCATCTGTATTTGTTAAATTTGCATGTATGATTCAATAAAAAGGTAGCTCTTAAACCATTCTTTAGGCCGAAGAAGAGTTCCTCGTTTTGCAGCAGCTCCTGAATGGCGTCCAAGCGTGTGGTTATAGTATCCACATCAAGAAGAGGCTCCAGGATATTGGAGCGCAGCCTCCTCGCTCCACCAGGTGTTTTTGTATGGTTGAGTACTCCTAAAAGAGTATAGTCGCTTCTGTCCAAAGGCAAACAAAGAAGGACTAAAAGTGTGTTCACGTAAAGACATCGTGATTTTGCAGGTGCTTTCCTCTCTTACCTGTTGTCTCTGTTATTAACCACCAACTCCAAGTTAGCTGCAGAGGCCGAGTCGATCATAGTCGTCTGTTCACTTCCCTTAAAGATTACTTTTAGAGACTTGGCAGCATAAAACGAGCTCTGAATGAACTCCAAGTATTTCAGCAAAGCAGCTGCCGTTGCTAGGCAATAATACCTAAAATGGTAATAATGTTAGATAAACAAAAACTTGCAGGGTTACAGCAGAGTTAAGAGTGCCGGGCAGGTTTGCATAAACACGTCGGCAGCATGAATGTCACATTTGTTTTCAGCTTTACATTATGCTTTTTTGGGGTTTTCAAATTAGTAACAGCTTCAGCAAACTTTCGGAAACAAATGTTTTGCATAGAAGTTTTAATTTATTGTGGATTTTTCCAATATACACACCCCAACTCATACTTTGATAAATACCCTTAAGTTGTAGAGAAAAAAACTAGATCTAATAAAAAATTAGGTAGCACAAAGACAGATTTTAAGAGTAGTCCATAAATTATCAATAGTGTGGATGTTGTGACCATTTCCGCAGAGATGTTATTCTACTTTGCAGAATCAGTTTAAATGAGTGTTTGAGCCAACCGTCCTGCTCAAACACCAAATGTCCTCATTTTTAAAATTCATTCAAGCTGTTTAATGTCAACACTCCCCATAAGAACTATTCAAATTAATAGTAAAGAGCTCAAAATTGCTATGACATTCATGTTAATGATTAATGATGAATGTATCCAAACTTCTGACCAGTATATTTTTATGCCTTCATGGATTTTGCAGCTTACTTTGCTTGCACTTCCATGAGAACAGTGGCAAATTCTGGAGCACAGAGCTGCTGTATGTACTCCAGCCCTTTCTTCTCGTTATAGTACTTTCTCTGGATTGCAGTGAGGTTTACACTCTGAAAAACAAAGGTTTAACATATTAAAAGCGATCGATAGATTTTCATTTTTGAAAAAAATTTATTAATTATTTTTTTAAAATGTTTTTATACTGGAAAATTCTCTGTGATAAGCTTGAAGAGTTTTGTCCATTTCCCCTTCTCACTGGCTGTGTCTGGCATCAGGATTTCCATAGGCATCAAGATGTGAAGCCTGGTTATAACCTTAAAAGAGAAAAACAAACAACTCTCTCTGTGTTCCATGTCTTATAATCACCCAGGAAGAAATTAATAGGTTTACCTTGGCATACGTCCCTGTGTCTGCAAACTGAGAAAGTATGAGTTCTGGACATTTTAAGTCAATACTGGCCATGCCAATCTCTCCTCTGGCCAAACCTCGCCCTTCAACTACCGCTACTATCACAGAGGCACCAGAAATTGTGGAAACAGACGAGACGCTTGTTCCTATCAAAAGTGACCATTTAGAAATCAGCTCAAAAAGGGATTACTTAATATAAAGCTTATTTCAGGAACTCATGGCTGTGTAAGGTGCCAACCTGTCGGTCCTGTAGACCCTGGTGTCCTCCTGAGTCTTGGTGTTCCTCCAGGGAAGCGAACAGTGGAAGTGTCTGAGGAAGACATGAGAACCGACGAGGCTGGTCGTCCCACCCTGATGCCATTCCGGCACTGACCTTCAAGAAAACCGACGTCTGAAGGACAAAATTTATCTTGTGGGACCAATCCTATTCAAACTACCAGAATAAAATCTGAATTTCATAAAACTATAGATATTTTTGGTTTAAAAAAATCTTCACACGCACAGAACTGCTTCTTTTTGTCTCATTACAAATAGGCAGGTTGGGCAAGGAGAGCAAGAATCAAACCAGCAGCTAAGAGGCAGCTATGGATGAGCTGCAGAGATCCATAGCTCAAGTAGGAAATTCTGGAAGTAAGTACAGGGCAATTCTGGAAGAAAGCTTGGTAACTGGTATGCTGCAAAAGACGTTAAAGTGGATGGAGACTTGTCTTCCAGCAGGACAATGTCTAAAAATACACTCAGAGCTATAATAGGAGAGTTTGTAGAATGCCTCTGTGCAAGCCCAGACCAAACACCAATTTTGTGGCAAGACTTGAACATTTCAGCTTAAGTTTTGAAAACTACTTATCTTTTTGCATTTAGGTTCTATCGCACAAAATATGTATGCATATATAAAATGTCAACCTGTATGAATATTTTCACAAGAGGTGTATACCCTAGTTTTTAAAATCACCTGAGGCCGTTCCTGGCTGTGATGGAGCATGACTTGAACTGGGAGTGTAAACTTCTGAACTTCGGTAAGGCAGAGCGGGGGAGACAGATGCTGGACAACAGGACGATGCGGTAGCTTCCTTCAGGCCGCTTCTGCGACAGGTTTGTCCAGAGTCTGTGGGCTCACTGCCGGTTATCTCTCCTGTGTTGCTCTGATACATTTTAAATTCTCACAAGAAAATTATAGTGGTTAAGAAAGTCCAAACTGCGTACTCTATATATGTTAAAATCTACTTATCAGACTTAAACAAACAGTAAAGAGAGGATTTAAACATATTTCAAGCAGTTAGCACAAATGGCTATTCTGAGAAACAACGGAAGTTAGCATCTGCGCATGAGGCTATCGTTAATGGCAGATGAAGACTTTATTTTGAAAGGTACTTTGGCGTATTTCTGTGAAAGCGTTTAACTGCCAAAGCTAGGAAATAAAGTCATGGGCAGTATCTGGTTGTAAAGAGAACGTGTATAGTTTAAACAAGATTTATATCTCATTGAACCTAAAGTTTTTACTTTGATAAAATAAGAAAGGTTGTAACAGTAAAACGGCCCTGCCTAGCGGGATATTTGACTTTAAGAAACAGATTTGGAAGCTGGACAGTCAGAGGTTTTTCCTTTATGTATTTTTGAGAAATATTTGGTGCCCCCACCGAGTGAAAATGCTTGGATCCCCGCCTCTTTGGCTGCTGTGCGCGCTCCCGAAACAAGGGGAACAGTTTTTCACAGGAGGACATAATTTCGCACAGGACCGGAAGTCCTCTCAGTCATAACACCAGTCGCTCACTTTGGTCAACATGGCTGCACCAAAAATAGACAATAGCAAGTATTTTGTAAGAGAAATTGAAAAGAATGACGGATGCGTCTTAAGAATGAAACAGTGCTACATAGGGGACGTTGGTTGTGTCGTCTGGGATGCAGCCATTGTTCTCGCTAAATATTTAGAAACTAAAACGTTTTATGACCCGTCGGCAGGAGTCAACATGTGGTGTGGCAGGACTGTGGTGGAATTAGGTGCTGGGACAGGAGTAGTTGGTCTGATGGCAGCAACACTCGGGTGAGACCCCAAAACGAAGTCGTACTTTTTTGTTAATCATCCCGCTCCCTCAATCGGTCAGATTTGCTTTGCATCTTCATTTACTTACAAATTATTTTCCTTAAATTGTCTACAGTGCTCATGTCATAGTAACAGACCTGGAAGATTTGCAGTCCCTCCTGAATGTGAATATTCAGGAAAACCAGACACTCATTCAGAGTGGGTCCATATCTGCCAAGGTACTGAAATGGTTTGTACTTCTGTTTAATATTGCACTGGATTGATAAAATGTTTACGAGCTGCATATTTGCTAAACTCTAACCCGTTTCTTTGCTTTTAAAGGGGTGAAGATGTGTCTGAACTATTGCCTCCTCCACATTACATTATCATGGCAGATTGCATATATTATGAGCAGGTATTGTGCAACCTTTCTTCTACTTACTCTTTTATGAAATGGGTTAAATTAAACTGCGTTTCAAATGTATCACTTTACAACCACCAACTTCAATTATTTCATGAGGATTTTATCCACATATTCAACCCAAGGTAGTGCATAATTATGAAAAGGAAACATTGCAAATAAAAATCGGAGATTTAGATGCATTTGTATTTGGCCCTCTTCACTTTTGTACTCCTGAATAAAATTCAGTTCCGTCAGTTTCCTTTAGAAAACACAAGTACAGATGCCCGTGATATGAGCTGGACAAATCAACAGGGTAGGTAAGACTAGCTGTTGATATGACAACAACCGCAAGTATACGGTTAAAGAAAATACCTACCAGAAGTCACTAGGGTCAGCAAAGAGTAATATTGAAATCTTTACAGGGTGGAGGTTTGCCTTGTAGTTGGATAGCAAACATAAACATGCAGTCAATAGATTGTTTAGTTTAAATCATATTTATTCATTTGCATTAGTCTGCCACATAAGATTTCAAAGATATTCTGTGGTTTGAAGATATAACATGACAACAGGAATGAATACATTAATAAAGTACTATAACAATAATTTTGAGACTATAAAATATATTATTTGCTGTATTCCTCATTTTAACTCTTGGTTCAATCCTACACAGTCCATAGGACCACTGGTGGAGACACTGAAGCAGCTTTCTGGACCAGAGACCTCCATTATCTGCTGCTATGAGCAACGCACCGAGGGCGTTAATCCAGAAGTGGAAAATAAGTTTTTTGAGGTATAGATAGAAACAGTTTTATTTTATATAGCTTTATATCCTTGATGTCTGATTTGCTGTCTCGCTTTTTCATTTTTCAGTTGCTGCAACGAAATTTCACCCGTGAAACAATCCCTTCTGACAAACAGGACCCAGAGTTCAGCAGTCCCGACATCCATATTCTGCACATTCGAAGAAAAGACTGATCTTATAGCATGCAATTTGTTTTTCTACTAAGATTTATATCATTGTGAGAAAGATTTCAGACTGTGGCATTTACAAAAATCTTAAATAATCATTTGTATTTCTTAAAAATACTTTACATTTCAAAACGGGAAGTTTTTAGGGTATAAAACTAAAATTCTCTGGAACACTTATCTCAGCCTCTTCTCGATTACTCACTTGCTGGCAACAGGAAGAGGAAGTTAGTAAAACAGACCCTTACCCATTATGAACACTGGGGGGCGACAAATACTCAACTCCATGAACCAAGATTATGTAGTGTAAAACTTTGTGTTCACTTAAATATAAACAGTTTCCTTCATCTGCACATAAATAATTTCATTAATATGCTGCATTAAGTAAGTAAAAAACTTACAATTAAACCATTTAAGGTTAAATTGCATGGTTTTGTAAAGAAAAGTGAACACTACTGGGTTTTGCCCCCATATGAGGAATTTTATTCAGAGCTCCAGATTAAGAAGATTATAGCTCTTATTCAACCATGAAGCATGCCCACCACGCTCTCACAGACACAGAGGGCCTCTGACAGCATTTCTTGCTTTGTTTACACAGTAGGAACTGTAGCATAAAGAGCATGGGTGGCCTTTAGTACTCTGGCTAAATGAAACAATGCAGATGGTCAAGGGAAGTTTAAAAGTCTGATAAAATACATTAATTGCTTTGTAAAAAAAAAAAAATTACAGCCTTGCTTGAGACACAGTTAAAATGAATTGGTTTTATCAGTAAGAAGGCAAATTTTTAGTAAGTTTAAGTAATTCAGTCCAAACAATGAAACGGGTATAGATTCTTTACACCTAATTTATTCCAAGCATGTTCTGTTAATTTTCTATGTTTAATTTTTTTTTTTTTTACAGCTAATCTAAATTTAAAGTTCAGTTCCTCTGAAAATTACAGTATTATCTTAGACCAATTAACACACAATTGATTTACTGTGATTTATGCAACCAATGGAAAGACTGCTGACTTGACTGCTGCAGACAGTTATTGACAGGCTTTACAACAGAGGTAAGCTTCCAATTCAATGAAAAGTTGAGTAGAAGGAAAATGCATTTCTGAACATAGTAAACAACTTATGGGCATCTCCTACAAACAAGACTGGAGTCAATGTTTCAGTTGATAAACTAAGAAGAAGAAGAACTGGACTGCTTCAGATGAAAGTTTCTACAGTCTCATGATTTAGGGAGCCATGTAATCTGCTTCTGTTGGTTCATCCTGTTTTATCAAACTGTGAATAGTGAAAAATATAGAGGTCCCCTTGCTTAAATTATCGAATTTGTCTGTAAGAAAAGTGGCAAAAATTAACTTCTTTCGTTTTAACATAAGCATACTGTGGAAGGAGTTCTCTAAAGTTAACCTGACTTTCTTGACAGTATACAATGTGCTATGATATATGTTGTATTATATTTAGAATTTGAATCCATCTATATGAATACATTGAAATTGCTTTTGATAGGACATTGTTTGGATTATATTTTAAGAAATGAATTTGATCTGTTTGTTTTGAGAGTTGATAGAACATAGATATACTGATTTTAATTTAATCCTACTAATCAGTTGTTAAACTATAATCACTCTCTGTGGCCCTTCATTCTCCTTTCACTTTTTGTCCTGAAGCACTTGGACAGTAATCAGAATGAACTTTGTCTTTAGGTCTTTTTTAGCTTTGAACAGCACATTAATTTAAATCATAGCTGGTATTAAGTCACTGTTCCAATGTGTGATGGAGACGGGTCTCAGACAGTCTTATTAGAGATTATAGGGGGTAAAGACAAATTCCACTTGTTCGACGTAAAGCTTTTCCATTCAAAACAGATAACCTCTTAAATTTTGACTAAGAATAACTAAAAAAAAAAGGAAATATATCCTTTTAAAAATGAGATAATTGGGCTTGTACCAGATGGAAACACAGGAAGCCTTACTATAAATTATGTCAATCACAGAGAAACACTGATGTTGCTATTTTGTACACATAATAGTGGATTATAGTTGCCTTAATGCTATTCTTTTTGTAGGTCCTCCTTGCAACTAGACAATGAGGCCATTTCCTACCAACAGATTGTGCTATTATATTCTCAAACTAACCTCAAAATATTTCTCACTTATTAAAATGTCTGTTCATTAATCATGATATGACATTAAAATCTCTGGTCTGGTTGTTTGCAAACAGTTTTTACTGCTGTCTGAGAGACGAACTGAATCGCAGCCGAAATGCTGTGAAAAAGCCGCATCGCTCTGTGTGGCGTGCTCCACTCTGCTGCATCACAGCCAAGTGACACAGAGGATCCTTTGTGTCACCATCATCATCATCATCACGCTGCCTGGAGCCAAGAGACACTGCTCCAGAAAAAGGAAGACTCATTTTCTCACTAACTCTTAGGGAGTGGCTCAAGAATAGACATCAAACTGGGCTGCTTAAAAATAGAAAGGCTGCATAAATGGTGGAGTCCTCTGATCCTGCAAAAGTTGCCGAAACACTTCTCTCTGCACACACACACACATGCACACACATGCACACACACACACACACACAAGCACATTCCACTTCTATCTCGTAGAAAAATGAGTTCACTGAACTTAAGGCTGCACAATCAGACAACAGAACTCACTTTTTTTTTAAAGCGGAGCATGTGACCTCTGTTATCTCTCAGTACAACTTCCAAACCCGTTTCGGAATGCAGCAACACTGAGCATTTTGAACCTCAGTTTCACAGTTGCATCAAATGGCGATGGAATACAGTAGAACTACTGGATTTTAGTGGAAACTTCGCTGCTTCTCTCCTCTCTCTCTCTGTTAGGGTGATGTTAGGACAGCTGTGCTGCAGTTGGGAGGGGGGCAAAATCCAGCTCTTTAAGGATACTATGCACACATTTCCATTCCTATTAAAGAATTAGTATTGGATCATTCATTAACATTTCTTAAAGGCTTTTTTGGAGTCCAAACCAGGATGCATATGGAACATTTCCCTGAGTCATTTCTTAATTGTGGAGCATAAGTGAGGAGCAGCACCAGACCTTGCCATGGATTAGTCTTTATCTCCACCTCCTAACAAGCAAAATGTGTTGTTTCATCCAGAAACATCGTCACAACACTGATTTGGCACGTATGAGAACTGTTCAAAGGAAGCGGTTGAGGTTGCATCACATGGATCTTCAGTCAGTGTGTGCAGCTGTGGGGGTGAATGACTTGTGCCTGTGCTCCTGTGTGTGATGATAAAATCACCCTCCCTTGTTTCTGTGAAAACAGATGCTCCGTGGCAAAGGTTGGTGATCTGTGTGCTGCCTGAACAAGCACTGGCCAGTTCTATTCACCAAGCAGATTATCACAAAGGAGTAACAACTGATTTATTATTTTCTCTTTTTTCGAAACGCATGCATTTGTGGTTTTTGCAATAAGGAGACTCAGGAAACTGCAAGCTGCAGCACTATTAATCATACCTTCCCCTCCTATCCCTGAAGTAACACCTTTCTCACACCTGAATGCAAGCTATAATCCTTTGTATTTCTGGTGCGTGATTGCAAAGACAAACTAGTTTAAACTCATCAATCTGTGCCAAGCATCTACAGATCTTCAGGAGCGCCCATGAACATATCCAGGAAATTGAATTACACTTACACCAATGATTTTAGCCGAGTTAAATAGAATTTGTAGCACATGTAGAGCACACTCTGCCTCTATGCGCCTTGTGTACGGCGCTGCACACAAATTGAAAATGTCAGGTGGAATTGCAGCAGTTCATAATAATTTTCTGGTTCTCTGAGCTTGTAATTTCACCACAGCAAGCAACCTTCAGCTGCACATATGAATGGAATGTGTTTTGGATGACTGCCCGGTGTACCTTGGACTTCACGGTCCTCACATTTTCAACCTTATTTGGCCACCAGAGCACGACTCATAATCAACAATTTCAGGAAAAAAAAACATATAAGTGAGAAAATCCGGCTCTGAAACAACTGCAGTCAGACAAAGTCAAGTTACACAGCCATTACTGAAAGAAAACAGTGCATCAACAGAGCCTTGCAAAAGTATTCAAACCCCTTTTTCTAACACTTTGTCAACAACAGTGATCCTTAATGTATTGTTATTTAAATCTAATCCAATGGACAAAACAAAGCAGTGCATAATTAAACAAGTGACAGCAGATGCAGATGGCAAATCTTTCAGAGTATCTTCCAGTAAATTATTTGGTTTTAATGTGGAAAAATTCCGTTAGAGTTCAAGGGGTGCTGATACTTTCGCAAGGCACTTTGATTAACGCCAATTGCTTTCAGGGGAACTGTGCCCTCAGCAGGAAACCAAACAGCTTTCTGCCACTTCCGCACCTGTTTTAAACTGAGCTCTGTGTGAGTTCATCATTAACTACACAATCGAAGAGGCTGCGGAGGGCGCACAGGAATTCAAAGGTGGACACAGAGGCAGCAGTTTCACAACCAAGGTCAACTTTAGTAAGGTTAAAAAGAAACCAAGTCAAGCTGTAACAACAGCAGTTTGGAGTATCTGTTCCCACCAACCATTTAGCAAATAAATAAGCGGCTGTAATAATGGTGCTTGGCCTTTACGGGCACGAATGCCCGAATCCTACAGTGATTACCCAGGAGGGTGTGTCTGCTAAATTGTAGGCTAGCATTAAGCCAACAATGACTATGTTGGGGAGGATTACTCTCGAACTACCTGCAGAAATGCTGCTCTGCAGATGGAGCTCAGAGGAAATGAAGACAAGTGACTAAGACAAACCACACCCCTGAAAGCCGCAAAGACAGTTCAGGTTTAGCCTGTAATCGTGGGAGGGATGCAGCTATTTAACAACTCTGGAGCCATTTCACTTTTTCCCTGATTCTGACTAATAAGTTGGAAACCATCATTGTGAAACAGTGGAAAACATGTGTTGTTGGCTCCGCATTTAGAGGCTGTTCCCTTTAAATTACTTCCATGTAGATTTGAAAACCTGATCGGAGGCTTATAGTACCAAAATTGGCATTGTTTATGACACTACAGACACTCATGCGTAACTGCAGAGATCCTTCAACCTACTGTCATAGAAACAAGCCCAACAAACACGCAGATTTTAAGCCTCAGACAAATTAGTCAATATTCTCATGTAAACAAGTTAAGTAAGAGTTTAAGCCCTTAGTTTGTGAATTATGAAAGCACTAAACTATGTGCCTATTTTCATAAGCATGTTGCTTACAGCACTTGTTTTTTTTTTGTTGTTTTTGGTGTTGATGTAGCAGGATTGATGTTCGGCCTAGCACCTCATTATTACAGGCAGTGAAGGTCATTAGAAGAAGCTCCTCATTACTGAGCTTCCTACTTCGACCTAAAAGCCATTTCTGACCTTTCCTCTCAGGAAGTGTGTGGAATTCCAGTTGAGAATGGAGGGAGTTGACAGAAGGGCAGGAGGTTTTATCTTTACAGAAGGGAGGTCATTAAAACCTGCACATTTTTTGTCCTCGGCCCTAGGGCAATAGTGTTGCCTATAAAGCTTTAAGGATCATGTGGTTGTAATAAAAGGCAGAAACACAGGTGGTTAAATTAGGCATATATGGAGGCTTCTGTCCTATACAACAGGCTTGACTTGAAGGCGATTATATTCAGTTTTTTTGCATTTTTTCCAAAGGAAGTCATAAGTCTTGGCGTCTTCAGAAGTCATCTATGTCACCTGATCTGCCAGACAGAAACCTCTCTGGAGCTAAAACAAACATCCGGAGGCTTTAAAAGCCATTGCTAGAGCAAAAGATCTTACAAACTAACAAGTACAGCCACTCTGACAACAACTGTATTAATAATCAGTATTATTAATACTGATTAATAATAATCAGTATTATGTCTGATTGCCGCTCTACAATTTACATGTACTGTATGTTTTAGCTTCAGAATTTAACACAGGAAATAGTATTTTATGCTGTGTTCAAATTGCAACAAAACACTGTGAAAAATTAAAAGGCACTAGTTTCCCTTTGTTTACCAACGTTGGCGCATAATGCGCTCTATTTGACTTTTTTAAGAACACATTAGTCTTACAGGCACTAAAATCATACAAAACATATTATTACACATATGTACATATTCATGTAGCACATATAATTCAAATATAAATTTGTTTGCCTTTTTGGTTTCTAGAGAAATAAAGCTTAAGAGCCAATTACCCAGGTTATCTGCTCTGACACAGTGCGCAGTTGGCCTCTTCACATGAATGCCTCATTTATTGCAAATTGCACTTTCAAAATCAAATAATAATTTTGCTTTAAATGTACAGCTGTGTGTTTTTAGTCACTAGAAATATCTCTAATCAGCTGGATTTGTCTTTCTTACAAGCGAAGCAGTGCACAGCAACAGGCAGGGGAGGGTCAGTACTGGATTACCCTGTGTTTCATAGAACTGGGTAAAGCTTTCTCTGCTATCTAATTAGCAGGACATTAAACCTTAAAAATAATAGAGTGGGGAAAAATGACTTAATTTGCTTTTATTTAAAACAGTTTTCTATCAGTCAGATAGATATACAGATATGTTTAGGTTTTAGTAATATTATCATTAACATACACATTATTTAAGCAACAGTAAAAAGAGTTGCTGCTTTTGTGTTTTTTTTTTTTTTACTATTTTTTCAGTTCAAACTGTGGTGCTATGGTATTTTTTAAAGGTTTCATGCTGTAAGGATTGCAGTGACACCAATTTGCTCCAAAAAGCTTTACACTGCAAACTGAAGTGCTACAGATTTGCTTTGTGAAGTCACATCTCAAGCTGAGGCAAACTCAGGAAGTTGCAGCTGACAGCTCAGCACCACCATGAAACATTCGAAAAGAATTCACAATTCAGCTGAATATCAGCGCGGCCCATCCAACTTTTCATGCAAACAGTTGTGTGTACTTCTCTGTTGTTCAAAAAAAAAGAGAGAGAGAGAGAGAGAGAGAGCAACTGGACTTCCTGTTTTGCACATTTTCACTGCTGAATGGGGTGGGAACTGAGGCCAGCTTTAAATCTGAGCATGGATGTTTAACTGTTCACAAAGACTTGGCCAAAAGTGACTCAAACACTAATTCCCTACATCTTTATATGTTCTGAATTCTGTAGATGACTACATAACAGTTTCTGCAAGTTTTAACTTGAATTTCAGACAAAGTATCAATTTCAAAACTACGAGTTGCAAAAAGATGTGTGTAAATTATATTTATCTTGCTTAGATACAATTGAAGAGTTGAAATTTGTTGACTGATAAGTTAGTCCACTACTCCCCGTTTCTAAGCTAAACCTGGTTAAATATGCCCTTCATCACATCAGCCAATAGTGAATAACACAGGGGTGTTTTTATTTAAATTGTTTAAGCATACAATAAAGCAGTTGAAGGAGAAATTAGACTAAGAGAAAAAAGTTGGATATAAATCTTAACATTAGATGTAATTAAATATAATTTAAAACCTATTGTGGAAAATAAGGATTTTTTGGGGTTAAATTTGAGTTAAACACTTTAAGACACATGTAGCTGTGGATTGCTGGTCAGCTGGCTGAAAGAAGGTTGCTACACTTTTCCCTCAGTTACAAGATGGACAAATCTGGATGTTTTCAGCTTTGCCATGTGAGTCCAGCCCCTTCACATCAATGTTACACAACTTCCACACCTAGCATCAGAGGAATTACCTAAAGACTGATCTTAGCACAATGTTTTCCTGCTCTGTTCCTCATGACACACTACCCTATATGTTTTAGGTGATTCCCTGCTTCAGCACACGTGATTTCAATTGATGGATGAGTAACAGGTTGAACTGCAATCCATTTAACATGCAAGGTAGTGTGCCTTGAGGATAAGGGTTGGGAAACACCATCTTCGCCAACTATTTAAATGTTTCTAAGCATCAAATATGAAGTCTATACAAGATAGCAGTGGCGAGTACATCACAAATGTTTTCTTTGCAATTGCTCTAAGCATATAATAACCAAGTGGTAGCTGAAATTGCCCAAGTTTAAAAGCAAGACCCTGCAAGTAATGAACCAACAAATGAATGAAAAAAAAAACAGAGGTAAAAGATTTAAAATCACTTTTTTAATAAGACATTACAATGACATTGTTCTGTACATAGTTCCCCCAGTCAAATAAGGAATAGGACCTGCACCACAGGCTTTTGTTCAACATCTCACTTCTTAACAGCTTTCTGTTCTGACTGCACCAACGAATGGACTCTGATGTTGGGTTAATGTACTTATGTACTCATGCTACAGATATAAGCTATCATATAATGTCCCAATACTGAGACTTTTCAGTTGTTGGTATCAGATTGAGAAGTCAGAGCTGAGGTTATTGATGGCCTGTTTGTTTAATACTCCGCACATTATAGTGAGACATGACATAGGTCAATCAGTTAACTAGAAAAGCCCACGTAATTGTATTTGGGGTAAGAAAATGTGTTGCGACATGTAAACATGGGCAATGATTTCTTTTTCTTGCATTTACCCCAGTTCTTTTTAATACCAGAGAAGGAAAATTATAAATCACAGTACTGTGTCCTTCAAGTAGGCTACATGACAAATAAAGAGCTCAATGTCAAAGTTTATCCCAACAGAGTCAAAAGGACTGTGAAACAGCTCAAGTCCAACAATGTCCTTAGGAGAAATAAAAGATATAAAATAGAAATAAAAGAACAGGCAAAGGTGGTGATCTCTGTGGCTTTGACCTTAGAAACCAGTTAACCCCATTTTTTTTTTTATCTCAAAAAGCCCAAGCAATAAAGAATGTGATATATGCCTGCTACAGAACATAAGCAAACTTTAAGCCGGCAAACCCAGTTAAAGATAAATTAGTCAAAAGATAAACGTAATAAAAATAAATTGAGATAATCAACTTTTCTTAAGCATTCTCATTTTGAAGAGTAAATTGTTACTTGCAACATTGTAGTTTTGACCTAAAACAGTCAGCACTCAATCATTAAGACTTGTAATTTGAAGTTAACCATGTCAGACCCTCATACAGTCCATCACCTGTGGTCGCACAGGAGGGCTGAACATACCAATTCCTATCTCTGATCCGGGTCAATCCGAGCTTCTCTTGGATTTCATGCGGCTTCATGGCGTCCGGAAGGTCTTGCTTATTGGCAAATATCAAGATCATGGCATCTCTCATCTCGCGGTCATTGATGATGCGGTGAAGTTCCTGTCTCGCTTCGTCAATGCGATCCCTGTCTGCGCAATCCACCACAAAAATTAAGCCCTGGGTCCCTGTGTAGTAGTGTCGCCACAGGGGACGGATCTTGTCCTGGCCTCCTACGTCCCAGACGTTGAACTTGACATTTTTGTAAGTGACAGTTTCCACATTGAAGCCCACTGTGGGGATTGTGGTCACAGACTGTCCGAGTTTCAGTTTGTAAAGGATTGTTGTCTTTCCAGCAGCATCAAGTCCGAGCATTAGTATTCTCATCTCCTTGTTGCCGAAGATTTTTGACAGCATTTTCCCCATTTTGAACTCTTGAGCATAAATACTTTGTTCCCAAGGAGAAAATGTGATAATGTTTTGATGGTCACTTGGAATGCAGCTCACAGTTTAATATAGACTTACTGGTGAAACCATGAAGTGAATGGATATTTTGTTTACTTGGGAACAAAAGTCAAAAATATACACACATGCTTGACTTTTCACCTGAAAGTCTGTCTGGATCTTGTTAGGTGCAGGGGCATTTATGCTCGGATAATGTCTTCTTGGCCTACACGCCACATGACACGATCAGACTAAGAACTTGGCACCAGCTGTTGCAGGTCGTTCATTGTTCAGTAAAAATGAAGATAAAGGTACAGGCCGCGATGAATGGAAACTGCAGAGAAGATTCACTGTGTGGGTAAAAAGGACCTCCAACAAAAGCCGCGATACTTGAAGAGAATTTCCTCTGGTGTTAGGATGTGGCGGTCCTCCTCACCGGGTGCGCCCTTGTTCTCTCCACTGCTGTCGCGGGGGGAGAAACAGCAGCTTTACGTCGGGACACTTCACCGCGCTACTAGGGAATAACTTCGTAAAATGTATCCCTGCTTGTCCGTGGCCAGAAATACCCCGTTCGCGAAACTCTGGTCACGCTGAAATGAGATTTAGGGGGAGGGTCAGACATGAAAAATTAGCCAGCTATTGCTAGATTGCCTGTTAATACAGCTAGTTAGCTCGTTACCTAGCACGCTAAGCTAAGTAGCTAACAGTAGTTAGCTGCAGTCAACTAAACAAATCAGGGCAATAAACGTGTGCTACGATGACAATATGATTAGCGACACATTTTAGTAGAAGAAGAGGCCGGTTATAATTAAATTACTTACCTGTTTTTCTCTTTCAGAGTCGATAAATTGACTCAGCTCTTGCCTTCCTCCTTTAACCGGAGCTATCCGCACTACCGCTGCTATAACGGAAAGGTGTGGAACTGCATCAGGGGCCACTTCCTCCTGTCGGCTCCATTCAGATGACAGCCGCCGAGTCCGCCTCCGTCTGTCTGACGCTTCTTTACATGGTACACTCTCACACAATGAATAATATGACGACAAAAAAGTGTTATTTTGGTAATTCGCTTCAGAAAGTACAACTCACATCCAGAAGGTATGTTTTTAGAGCATTTATTTCTGTTGGTTTACAAGCAAAATTCAGTTTCTCAGGAAATATTTAGGTTTGCGTTGCAGTATCCCACAAACAACCATTCCATTTGAATGAGACATAGTCAATCTGCACTTCAAACACAATCATATTCATGAATATTACACACTTTATAATCATTCCAATGCTGCTGTTATCTGCTGTTGTATATGGCCATATCTTTACAACTATTTTCCGTCCACTTAACTTTCCAGTGATGCATGAAAACCTAATTTATCAGCACATTTTGGACAGCTGTCTAGAATCATTTTGTTATTATCATAATATGGCCATAATGTAACACTGGAGTATTAAAAAAGATATTTTTTGGCTTATGTAATAGTAAGATTTGGATCCTGAGATGTTTTTACAAGCTATAAAAATAATTATTTTAAGCCGTAAACCACAATCATCAACACAAAATTATGGTATATTACACCGTCTTTGTGCTGTGTTAATTTCGGTTTTGGAAATAAGTGCCAGACAAAATAAACTTTTAGTAAATTTCAACTCAATGAAATGCATCCTTTCAAATATGATACAATGCGATTTTACTATGTCTTTTCTATAGTATTTATTTATAGTATTTATTAGGATACAATATTTAAGGTTTCTTTCCATCCATTTGTCAGGAAAAGCCTTAGAAAGTAAAAAATGGATAAGAAAACATATTCTGTGGAAACTTGAATACAAAAACGTTTTGGATCTCATAAATGAAAATATCTTTGCCAGTTATTGATAATTATAAGAAGAGTAACATCTCCCCCTAGCGGCCAACGGCATGTAACCAAATTGTTAGTGCAATTTGAGACGAGAGGTCAAAGAAAGAGATCCAGAGTATCACATTGAACCAGAATGGTATCAAAGTGTCTTCCTTAATTTTTCAGTAACTTGGAAGGAAAACGGCAGTCTTTATTTATTGAGTGTGCTCCTCGAGTGTGTTAACTAAACCAATTCATATGAAGGAATGCCCTGCAAGGTATTTTTCACGCTACTGTTTCTAGTCCAACATCGTGACGTTCAAAACAATTATATGTGAGGTTTAACATGTACGCGAAGTCAGTATAAGGGTGTTAGTGTCTGATGCAGATGTTCAACACTACAGGTTGGTTTCTAAAACAACCAAATAGGCAACAACAGAACAGATAGCCATGAGAAGAATCATCTAAACCTCTGCATGTAGCCAGTGAAATATGACAGAAATTATTCTTAGAGTTAAAAACCTTGAGAACAGATACATTTGAATTTATTTATATATATTTTTAATATAAGAGCTATATTTTAATCATTCTACTGACGGTGATTGGCTGCTCTGCTTAGCAAGAGAAGTTTGAACTTTTAGGTCTTAGGTTTAGGAGGCAAATTCACTCGTTTTGTTTGTCACCTAGATGGTTGGCCGCCACCAGGCGGTGACCGACAGGGGAGGAGAGGTTAGAAGAGGTGCTACGTCAAGCCGCTTTGGGCGGATGTCGCCCATTAAATCAGGACACCTCCATCTGTAAATAAGCCAAGCCCACATTGATGACGTCATAATGGATTCCCAGCCTAGTCCGGCACAGCTCTGTGAATTATAGTAGTGAAACTAAACATCTTAAAAATAATCGGTTTGCATTAACACTAACAGCGATGGAATCCGCGGCTCACGAGGCAGGGCTCTGACGTTTACGACAAGACCACTCATCGGCTTCAACGGACGGATTTAAAGGGGCAGCGCCACTTTCAGGCATAATGGCGGAATACAGTCGACCTAACACGCTCGGCCGGGCTCTGTCCCATCCGACTCTTATAGAAACAAACGATGTTTCTCCGCCTAACGTTCAGCTTCACCCAAGACGACGGAGAAAGCCGTCCAGCTGCAGCTCGGTGGAAAACCTCGATCGGGTGTCTACACCTTCACCCGAGAACGAGTCGCGGGTCCTGGTGATAAACACCGGGGGGACCATCGGGATGACGCTACGTGATACAGGTATAGGTGGTGGACTGGGCTCCCAGTTACTCTTAACTTTACTTTTAAGTTTCGCAGTGTCTGTCTGAAGCCCACATCTGTAGCAAACAGCTCAACATATACATAGACTGGCTCTGTCACATGTTGCTGGTAACATGATGCAAGGATTACTCTGTGCTCCATAACAACTGACACGTGGAACCTAAAATAGACACACGAGAGGGAACACTTAAAATAAAAATTAATCGAAGTAAAAAATGACATTTTTCACATATTTTCTACCTCAGACGAAAAGAACACGCATTTGTTTGTAATAAAGTTGTATTCATTTGGAGCAGTTGTATATTAGGGCTGGATTTTACGGTGAATTGAAGTTTGTAGACCTCAGAGAATACCATCTTTTCCCCCTAGGATACAGTTGGAACAACATCACCCTTCATAAATCAATAACCTCATACTGACATGTGGTGTTGTGCAACATGTAGAGATGCAGAATAACATTCAAAGGTCCCTGTAAGATCAGGCATCAGTAGTTTATTTTCCCTGTTATTTATTATTGTCTTGGTCTGCAAAGACTCCATCACTGTGAGTGTAAATATTAACTGAAGGAAGCTGGATAATTTAGGTTAGGCTCTAACTACAAAATCTGACAGAGGAACAGAAAATCACTAAATTATAAAAGTAGGCTTCAAAACAAAAATATAAGAAGTTCTTGAGGGGCCAGCATAATTTAAGCATTTGAACAAGATGGAGAGACTGCAGCTAGTATTGTAGACTTGATTTGCATGGTTTCATGTTTGACTTGAAAATAATGCAAATAATTATTTGCATGACTTGCATTTTTAACGTACATTTGAAGTACTGTTTGAAATGATCTCAAACAGTACTTCAAATGGGTTTTACACATCTTATATAGTTAGAAGTGAAATTTACATCTTTCTTTGTCCCACATAATTAATCTATGACAATTTGTATGACTTAATCTCATAAATAAGGTTTATTTAAATTTGTTCTTTCAGTTTGTATTAATACAAATACTTTAAAATTGGATTGTTTAAAAACTCTAGACAGTGACCATTTTCAAAACTGTTCCATACAAAAAGTGTGATAGTTGCGTTCTCATCACGCTTCTCTAACTTACTGCCATTCTGTTCTTTACGCAAATGTTGCAGTTTCAGAATACTATTTGCTCTAAATTATTTATTTTGAACATGTAAGGACAATTTTTCAATAAAATAACTACTGTAAAATATAATTGCATTATAAATAGATACACTTCCTCCTTTAATTCAGTTTTACAAGTTAAATATTATTGCCAAAATAAATAAAATACTGACTTCAACAACATTGTTAGTAATGCCAAACTTGATTAAATGCTGTTTACTTCTATCACTCAAATTGACAAATGTCTTTTCAAAGTACTTAAAATTCAGTTACAAGGAATCTAAATCAATCCTGGTAATTTATACGTTGCAATCAATTTCATTTTATGAAGCTAAAAGACAAAAATATTGAGGAAGCCCTCAAAGGGCGGAAACAGAAGTTTAGTGCCACCTCTGGCAGAGAATCCAAGCCTCCTTTCAAGATGATGGCGTCGGCCCACGGATCCTTAAAGACGTTACGGAAACAGTCATTGCACCACTTTGATGGGCCCACTTTCCATTGGTATCCATTTGACTTTGCTGTGTGATACGACAGAAACAGCACTTTGATTCAAAAAGAAGTAAACACATAGTTTGAACACATACGAAAGAGGCAATAAGCCATAGCAATTTGCTGGCCTCAGTACGTTGGTTGATCACTGAGAAAACCTACTGCGATAAGGATGGGGACCTGTTGGAATTTGGTTCTCCATCAGTTTTTTAGGGAGTAGGAAATAACAGTTGTTTTTTTTTTAATAGGTTTTCTGTAGCTGCCTCATTCATTTGAATTAGGTGTGATTACTTTGGGGAAAAATGTACTTCGTCTGTTCTAGTTAAGAAGTTAAAATTTCAACATGGCGATATGGCAGGTCGACTTAACATAAAATCAGCTTCATCACACTTACCGTACCTTCTAGATATCTGGTTTATGTTGTGTTATTAAAATAAAGATATTTCTAATTATATTTGGACTACACATAATACCTATTTATGATATCTCTAATTACATTGTGACTAGCATAAATTGTGTCAGATAAATACCATTAATTTGCATGGAAGCTTTAATTCAAGATATCTGCAATTACAGTAATTAGACTAAAACTTTTATTTCACATAATTAAATTATGACTAGTCATGAAGTAAATAAAGCAAATGATGATTAGGTGAAACTAAATTAGATATGGTGCATTTTTATTTACATGTGTCTCTAATCCAGCATTCCTGATTCAAATGATTGCATGATCTCCTCCGCAGCCATCAAATGCTGCAGAAGAATTTTATTCACCAATTTATTTGTTTTAGGTGTTTGAAAGCATTGAGACACCTAAAACATTCAGGGCTGGGGTACTTGAGGACCAGATTGGGGAACCGTTGGTATACAGGAAATGCCGTTCTCAACAGTCACCTCAGTTAATTGTTTACAAACTTTGGGGATATTAAAACTTTTAAGCCTTTTGAATATAAGCGTCACAATTTTTTTACTTTAGCTCAGAAAATAATGAATGTCCAAACTTGTCCCATATTGGCTCAACTTCACCAAAAACAAAAACGGAATAAAGAAAATCACTTGGGATGAAATACCTTTCTTTAGAGCCCAAGCTTTAAAACCAATTTATCTGATAGACAGAACAATGCATGCCATCTTGACCAGAAATGGTCTTTTTCCTGCATTGACTGAATAATCCTGCAATAGGTGAAGACCATGGTAATCCTGAAGTTTGAAAAACTAAAAAACACCCTAAAATTATTAATCCTAAAAATTTAGAAGCAGGCTCCTTCAATATGT